TTTGATGAGCAGCATCTCCCAAGAATGGCAGCCTACACCTGTAGTCCTAGCAATCAGAGGCTGAGGCAGGGGGATTGGAAATTCAAGGTCATCCGTGGCTTGTCTCTTAAAGAGACAGAAGAATCATTACAAATGCTATATTGTAAAGACTGGAAAGAAAGATGGGCATGGTACCACACATTTAATCCTAGTGCTCAGGAGGTGGAAGGCTTATCTCTGTTAGCTCAAGGACAGCCTGTTCTATGAAGTGAGTTCTCGGTCAGCCAGGGATACACAGTGAGACCCTGTCTCAAAACAACCGAAAGAATGGAAGGAAACTTATTCCCAGAATTACTGAAGCAGTAGCTCTGCAAGGCCAGAGGCCACACATCTTAGCGAACGAGGGTATCCTAGAACTTGTGGGCCTCCGTGGTCATATAATCTGGAGGGAAGTCCTCTTTCGGTTTTGTTTTCAATTGACTTTACTATCTCAGTTTCCCAGTTGTTTCCTTGGACCACTGTCAAGGACTGGCTTCGATAAAAATATTCTTACCAGGGTGGAGCATGGGAATTTAGAAATATAAGTAAAGGATATGAAGACACATAAAAAATAATAGGACAGGAACCATAGAAAGTATGGGGAGGGCGTTCTAGTGACTGAAATCACGACGGTTAGTTTTCCACAGCTTTTATACCCAATGTAAGTGGGGGGAGGTAACAAAAGACTTTATTAACACGATACAAAGGATAACTCACAATCGCTTTAACACTCTGAGACAACAAATCATTAGCATCCTGTTTTCTAGAAAGCAAAGCTGCTCTAGATCAGGTATCCAGAAGGCTGCCCTTCCCCAGGTGACCTCATAGTTACTAAAGAAGCAGAAGTACATTTGCATACCCTGACTGCCTGCCAGGATGGCAGGGACCTACTTTAATGAATTATTTTAACGTTAAAAGAACCAGGCAATCACATCCTGAGTTGCGATGCACTACTGTGCTTGTTGATCATTTGAGCAACCTCCTGATGCTCTGTCAGACAAGGTGGGCTTGTCAATCATTTGAACAACATCCTGACGGTCTGTCAGACAAGGTGGGAATGGGCCCATGTTTTTGGGCTTCCACAGACCACAGCTATAACCTGCTAGATTTTAGTTGTCAGGGACATTCAGATTCCAGCCTACACATGAAGAGAATAAAGGTGTGGTAGTTGATAGGTGTGGCCGCATAAACCATTTCATTTGCAGCTACCAAATGGAAGCCATTTGCCACAGTACAAACTTTTGCAACTATGTGTCATTCAAGGGTTGTTCCTCCCATCTCCCAGCTTGGCCTTTTTCTTTTCCTTCTTCTTCTTCTTCTTCTTCTTCTTCTTCTTCTTCTTCTTCTTCTTTTTCTTCTCCTTCTTCTCCTTCTTCTTCTTTTAGGGTTAGCTCAAGTTATTCATCTTGCATTTCTGTTCTATGGCCTATTTATAGTAAATATTTTGGAGTCTAACGTTTAGACAGACCCAGGGCAATTGTTACATATTTTGTCCTGTGTAATTATTTGCTTAATTTCCCCAAAGATCTCCAGATGATTCCCTCTGACTAGCCCAGGTACTTAGTACATTGTTCATGTCGAATATGATGAAGAATTGCAATAGTCCTGCAACTCCAGAGGACGGGCCGGGTCAGAAGTGTCAAGCCCAACCTTTCTCCCTTCACAATGCTGCTTCCCATTGACACTGCAGACTCTTGGTGAGGCCCATGTTCTCAATCTTCCAGTTCCATAGTTAAGTTTGTTGTATTTTATGAGCTACTTTATTAAAGGTTTAGAGGTAAATTAGCAAGAGCTATAGCTGAAATAAGCAAAGTTTTATGGAATACCTATGGGGTATCAGGTTTGTTGGGGGAAAATTACTTTAAGGTGTGTTACTTTTGTTCAGTCTGTATTTGTTTAACTCTGTGAAGCTATGTTACTTTGCCTGCCTAAACCACATGATTGGTCTAATAAAGAGCTGAATAGCCAATAACAAGGCAGGAGCAAGGATAGGTGGGGCTGGTGAGCAAAGAGTATACATAGGAGGAGAACTCTGGGAAGAGAGGAAGAGGAACAAGAGAGGAGAGGAGGATACCCGCGGCCAGTCACCCAGCTACACAGCAAGCCATGGAGAAAAAAATTAAAGTAAGGTATATAGAAATAGAGAAAGATAAAAGCCCAGAGGCAAAAGATAGATAGCAGAATTTAAGATAAGACCAGCTGATCAGAAACAATGAAAAATAAATCTGCTGTGTGTGATTTATTTGGGAGCTAGGTGGTGGGCTCCCCTAAAGAGTCAAAAGAGTTAAAAAAAAATCACACAACACAGGTTGACTGAGGAGTTCCAGGTAAGTGAATATCATCATATACTTACTCTGACCTACATTTGAGTTTTTTTTTTAACATTTATTTTTTTTTTTTTTTTGGTGCTTGGCATTGAACTTGGGATCTCAGACACACAAAGCATGTGCTCTATCACGGAGCTCTCCCTCTGATTATTTATATTCAATTTATATATCACCTTAGAGTTTACTGCCACACGAAGAGGATTTTCTCCACATTAGGTTTATGTATTCATTGAGAGATTCAGAACAAAATTCACAGATAATACAGTTATTTATATATGAAAGTATATTAACCACGAAATGAGTGAGGTTTCAAAATTATTTAAATTCAGCTCATTGTTCAGTTAGGATGAAAACAGAGCTCTGGGGAGAAGGGAAGTTGAGGAATGAGTGATTGAGATGTGTCTCCAAAGCTGCTCCAGGAAGAGATGGTGTTTAGCACCGTGGAGAAGCAGAGTCCTGGAGGAACTGCTCCTGCCTGGCGCTCTGGGTGAGGGTTTGGAGTCAGCTGGGCTGGTGCTGCTTGGAGAAGAAGCCTGTTCACTTCCTGAGTGCTCAAACCTTGTGTTTAACTCTTGTGTTTACATGTGTTTAGGATCATAGTAGTTCAGGTCTACAAGAGCTAGTTCCAGGACAGCCTCCAAAGCTATAGAGAAACCCTGTCTCAAAAGACCAAAAGAAAAAAAAAGAAGATCATAGTAGAGTTGAGACCAGGAACTCCCATCATTCTCTAGGTGTGTATGTGTGTTTCAAAAATTTTTATTAAAATTTTTTTAATAGATTTTTCCCCCATTTTATATAGCTCTCTCAGTTCCCACTCTCTCCCCCTTTCCCATCCTACCCTTCCCCCTCACCCCCCATCCACTCCTCAGAAAGGGTAAGACTTCCCATGTGGAGTCAACAAAGTCTGACACTTCACTTCAGGGCAAGACCAAGGCCCTCCCCACTATATCTAGGCTGAGCAAGTTATTCCTCCAAACAGAATGTGCTCCAAGACATCAGTTGAAGGATTAGGGATAAATCCTGGTTCAAGTTATTATAATAGCCAAACATATGCCATTCATTTGCAAATTATGTGTTTGCAATCATCGCAAAGCCAAATGATGCTGCTATTTACCCAGCTGTAAGGGCTAATTTTCTAAGTCTTTGTTCTGACCATTAACAGTACGTTGCTAAAGATAAATTCAAATTCTAACACGTACACATTTATATCTTTCAATATTGCAGGTTGATTTATTTAGAAATATGTTCTTTAAATATCTTATGAATACTAGTATTTAAACATTTTGAAGTCATAAATACTCATAATCATATTTTCAGATGGGGGAAGTTTGGGGTGTGGTTTACTGATATTTTAAGTTCTATAATGTATCATTTTGTGCTCACACGGGGAAAACGGTAACATTTAATAAAATGGCAGTCGCTTGTCCTCTTAGTAAAGACCTCATGGCAAACTGCATGAAGCAGTTTCACACCTTGAGTTATGTTTCAAATCACCTTCAGGAACCTGCTACATTTTGCTTAAGCAAAACAATAAGAACAAAATAAAACCCCGAAAGGGCTCAGTTCAGTTCCCTATTCTGCCGTTATAATTTTATATCCTTTACCAACTACCATAAACACCAAGCATGATCTGTGCTCCTTAAAAAAGCAAATGATGTCTTTATTAACAATGTATCTCGGAGCGTTTAAACGCAATCAAACAAAACACAAGCCTGTTTCTAGGATTTTGCCTTTAGCGAGCAACTTCGCAGCAATGTTTTCGAGAAGAACCAGCATGGCATCTTGTTCAGATATCTCCTTTATCTGGGTCTGACCAGGAGTGCAGTTCGTGTTTGCAGAAGCCAGGCGGCACAGCCTTCCCAGCCTGTTCTGGGTCTCCTTAGGGTCAGGAAAGGACTAGCCTTACCACCGTGTCCCCAAGATTTTATGGGATCTGTGGAACTAAGAGCCATTATCCCGAACATCAACGAAGCTTCTTGGCAGCTTGGATGGTTGGAAATGATGGGCCCCGGTTCAGTTCCGGAAAAAAAGGCTGCGGCCATCTGAAGAACGTGTCGATCTCGGTTACACCGGCCGGTGGCCCGCAGGCAGCCAAGGGCGCGAGCGCCCACAGCCGGGAGCTCAGACTCGCAGACCCGCCCTGCCCCACCCGGCGCCTTGGCACCCAC